AAAAAAAATTTTCGGGCCATTCGGGTGGGCTTGGGCCGCCTGACCGGGCTCAGGCAGCCAAAACTAGGCCTGCAGCCCATCCATGGGCCTTCTCGAGCTCTGGCAAGCGGCCCAAAAATTTTAGGCGGGCAGGTTCGGGCGTCGAGCTCAAAATTAGTTTTTTCGGGCGGTCATGGACGGGCCATCCAAAGTTCCAGTACGACCGCATATGTTCTTATCTTGTGGTAAGCTCTAATTTCAATGACGAAATTCCTTAAGCGGGGTAAAGCTGTAACAACTTGAAGAATTAAGCATGTTTAAGTATATTAATTATGATTTATTAGTGTGTCTAATTTAATTTTCTTAATTAATTATGCTTATTAAACATTTTCTTACCTCCAAGTTTTAAATATTTTCAAGAAACTTTAATTATTTTCAGTATTTATAATTTCACCTCGGAAGTATGTGGGAATACATACTTCCCCCCTTTTCTCTCTTTATATTTCTCTTCTTTTCCTTTTCTTTCTCTCATTTCTCTTTTCCTTTGTTTTCAATGTATTCCTAAACGAAGTTAGAAGTAGTGCCGAGTAGACAGTGATTACTGGTGAGGTGAGCCGAACGCAGGAAGTGAAGAAGTTGTGAAGTATTTTCTTCCTTGTTGCTTATTACCAAGGCATGTAAAACTTTATGGATTGTAACCTTAAATTCTACTAGATTGTGATTGATGTCAGTATATAACTTTTCTGTTTTGTTTATGTATGTACAAAATGGATTTTTCTATGGAGAATCTTGATACGATGCCAGCGGCTAAACTTTGACTAGTTTTATTGTGGTTTTATGAAATCTGCCTCACTTTTTTTAAAACTTAATTTTCTTAAAATAGTGAGATTTATTTAAAAATTCTTGTATATATTATCTTTGAAATTAACTTTAACATTATTAAATGTTTAATTACTTTTTTAATCATGTTTAATTTCTAAATAAATCTATACGTTATTAACTCTTATTTTGAGGCGTGACAAGACTTAATTTTAACTAGGCGTGCGTGTTGCGTGACTGCACCTAAATTAATGAATGAATAATCGGCGCTAATTATATCTACAGTAAAATGTCCCAGGTGAAATATAATTGCATTATTTCAAACTTTCAGAGAGAGATTTTAAGCTTTGAATACTGAAAGTACCTGAAGTTGATGAAAGACGCAAAAAGTCAAGGTTCAATACCACATGATTTTTGAATTGACTCGTTGAAAGTGATATATAGATATTAGATACCGACAGGACCTAACAAAGTCCAAGCTCATGCGAAAGGCCGTAAAGTGAAGAGGGGGAAACGAGAATAAATTACACGCATCTTGTAAAATTAAACTTTTACAACACCACGTGCGATTTTATTTTATTTTATTTTATTTTACTTCAGACGGCATTGACAAAGTAGAGTTCGTATGGATCATCTCTCACTTTTGTAGGTTTTTTGGTGCTCTGCTCTTGAGTATGTTTGTCGGAAAAGATTAACGGTATTGGAATTCTAGAAGGAATTTCTGGTTTATAATACGAAATATTAGTGTATGTTTGCCGTAAATATGGAATATGTCCAACTAGACCATTAATGTAGTTTTCCTTTTTATGAAACTTCATTGTACCTTCAAGTTGGCAGTAAGTTCAATGTACCTCAGTAAGTAATATTTTTTAAAAATAAGTTTTCTAATGCATCGTTCACTTCACATATTCGAGTTTAAATGTAATATTTTTTGAGAGTTTTTCACTATAACAGAAAAAATCAGTAAGTTCAATGTACCTCAGTAAGTAATATTTTTTAAAAATAAGTTTTCTAATGCATCGTTCACTTCACATATTCGAGTTTAAATGTAATATTTTTTGAGAGTTTTTCACTATAACAGAAAAAATTAGATGTGACATTTTCTGAGAACTTTTTAATGTAAAAACTTAAAATTAAAAATTCAAATCAATAAAATGAACGATGTCTAAGTGTACTTGTCAAATTCAAAAGTTATAGCAGCCAGTAAGTTCAATGTACCTCAGTAAGTAATATTTTTTAAAAATAAGTTTTTTAATGCATCGTTCACTTCACAGATTCGAGTTTAAATGTAATATTTTCTGAGAGTTTTTCACTGTAATAGAAAAAATTAGATGTGACATTTTCTGAAAACTTTTTAATGTAAAAACTTAAAATTAAAAATTTAAATCAGTAAAATGAATGATGTCTAAGTGTACTTATCAAATTCAAAAGTTACGGCAGTATTTTGAGACAAGAAGCAAAGTTCCTTTAAAAAATTAAAAATTTAAAAAAAAGTACTTAAAATTTAGTAGATGAAAAGAAAAAATAAAAATACTTCATTTTGCAAAAGCTCAAGTGACCTTTGCGTCGACATAAGGAAAGCTTATCCACAAACCAACTGTGTCACCCTCGCCATGATAAAGTACATACGTGTGTCCAGCACTCCAGCTAATTATGATTAGTATGAAGATTAAGACCTCATTCATTTTACCGATTTAAATTTAAAATTTAAATTTTATTACAGTAAAAAATTATTAGAAATAGTCACATCTAATTTTTTTACTACAGTAAAAAATTCTCACATAAAGTCACATCTCAATTCAAATTAAAAACTTAAATATGTGAACTAAACGAGCCCTAAGTTATTTATAAGAGTATGGTGGGAGAGATTCGGAGTCCATGTTGTTCGGTGGTTTGAATTATATTAATTTAATTTTTTTTTATTTGAATTGAAAAATTTAAACTGTAAGGTTTAAATTGAAATCTGAACGGTAATTTAGATATAGAGTTAAAGTGTAAACATGAACAAAGAATAAAATTTAAATTTGTCTTTAGATAGATGGAGATAGCAGAGAGTGAACATATTTTTATTGCTAAAAAAAAGAAATAAATTCAGATTAAGTGCTTATTTGAGACAGAATAATCTTTTAAAACTTCAAACAATCCATCAACTCTAAGCTTTGAAAGACTATTTTACCCTCTAAAAAACTTATTAACAACCTGTGCAATAGACAACAAAATAATTAGTTAAATAAATATCATTTATTCTTTTAACTCTTCACTCATTGTTGCTAAATAACATGAAGAATTTCTACAATCTAATTTGATCATAAACTAATTCTCCAAAAGCCGTCCTACGTAAGAGATTACTATTCTAATCCAAACTTCAACGTATACAACCCGACAACTAAGATTGATTAAAGAAAAACAATATCATTTTAAACATGTGGGGGCGTTCATACAACTAGTTATATATTATGTGTCAAGTAACAAATCTCAACTCTACTATAAGACTTCTTTAATCTTTAAACTTTATAAATAGCCGTACATTAATTTGGAAGCACCCAGGAAACGTGGTATTGGAGACAACAATAACTCTAATAATTGAGATTAAAGCAAACTAAAGCACAAACTCCACTAGATTGTGGCTTGTGGATAGCCCCAAGTGGCAAGTGGGGACAGAAAGTTGTTTCCAATCTCTAACTGGGAACCTCACATGAAACCCACCGCTTTTTTCTGTATTTCTTCCCCTTTAAATACCTCCACACCCTCATCCTTTTACTCAAAGTATCCAAAAATTCCTCTACTTTCGAACTTCTCAACTTTCAAATCTCTCTCTCTCTCTCTCTCTCTCTCTCTCTCATAATTAAGGACTTGAGTAAGGTGAAGTGAAATGGGTTTAGAAGAAGAAACATCAACTTTAGAGCTCATTAGGCAACATCTTCTCAACGACTTTACTTCCATGGATAATTTCATCAACGGCCTCAACTTCTGCACTGCCAATATCCCCAAATCCCAACCGTTGACTCAACCTTCACTTTCCGAGCTCCCAAACAGTACTGCTAGTTCTACTAATCACTTTAAAGTCTCTGATTTCTTGATAACCCCAAAGCAAGAAGAAGCTCACAGTTTCGAGTTCGAAACCAAACCACAAATCCCCCACCCGAAACCCACCAACGCCCTTAGCCAGCGCCGGCCCTCTATAAACGTCGCGATTCCGCCGGCCGGATTCCAGACTCCGGCACTGGCGCCGGCCCCGGAGACCGACAATTACGGCGATGTTAGGCACTACAGGGGAGTGCGGAGGCGGCCGTGGGGTAAGTTCGCGGCGGAGATTCGGGACCCGAAACGCCGCGGCTCCACCTTTTTTTTGGGGGGGCGGCCGGGGGTAAGGTCCGGGGGGGAGATCCGGGCCCCGACCCGCCGCGGCTCCCGCGTGTGGCTCGGGACGTTCGACACCGCCATCGACGCAGCCAGGGCCTACGACCGCGCTGCCTTCAGAATGCGCGGGAGCAAGGCCATCCTAAATTTTCCCCTGGAAGCTGGAAAATTTCCATCTCCCGTGCCAGCGCCGGAGAAGAGTGGTTCTCCGGCGAGCGGCGACCGGAAGAGGAGAAGAGATGAAGAAGAGAATGTCAGAGATAACAAGAGCAAGGCGTTGAAGAGTTCGGAAGAAACGACGTCGTCTTCTTCAGAGAGTACCACCGTGACGGTTTGTCCGTTGACGCCTTCAAGTTGGACGGCCGTTTGGGACAGTAAGGACGTGATGGGAATTTTCTCGGTGCCGCCACTGTCACCGTTATCTCCTCACCCATCATTTGGATATTCTCAACTCATGGTTATCTGAAAAAAAAAAAAATTGCTAAACTAGGAAAGGTCAAAGACTGCAATTCAAACCAGCCATATGAATATGACGCAAGCAAATTAAAGGGCAAAACAGAGAGTTATCCACAGCTCTTTTCCCAAGAGATTATAAGAAAAGTCAAAGGGATTGAGGTGGCTGAGTTTTGTAAATACAAGTGTGTATTTTTTTTTTTTTTTCCAATGTGCGACTTAAGTTAATTAAGTTCTTTACTTCTATCTTAACAGTACCAGATTGAGCTACAAAGGGCTCTAAATCTGTGTACTATGTATGATGTAAAACTTTATATGGTTGAGAATTTGATTTGTTTATTCGTTTATCATGGCCTCCCTTTGTTTATAAGTTTGTGTAGTAGTATAGGATAAGAATAAGATTTCAAGGCATAAAAAAAAATAATTATAAGTCTTTATTTTAATGTATTAAGCGTATATTAAAAATTATTTATTATATATTTTTTTTATTTTAATATGATTTTGATTAAATTTAAAGGTCAAAAATTTGTATTGACAGAAGAAACCTTTATGTAAAAGGGCCCTATCAATAATAGATTTAATTTTAAATATCTTGTATTTATCTTTGTTTCGATAAACATAATGGATTGAATTTTAAATTTTCTAGCAGTCTACATGCCCTACAAAACATTTTAAGTAATATGTACCTCATATTCTCATGAGAAAAACATATGTACCTAAGACCTGTATAGTGCAAAGTTTCTGATTCTCTATTCTGAATTAACCATAAATTTGCTAAGATAGAAGTTATCTATATATTATTGACCAAAAATCAAGGTGTGAAGTACATATCTCTACGTGGTTACAATATTGTTTTGTCATGGAGACGGCCTTATGGTAAAGCAACAACAATCTAATCGGTGCTTTGGCTTCTTGTGGCTGCGGAGAATTTTTCCTAACTAAATAACAAAAAGAATCTTAAATCATTGAGGAGCCATTTATTTTATATGCTTAAATTTAAATTATTGATTCTATTATAGTTTTTTTTTCTTATAAAAAAATTAAAATTTTAAACGTTAAAATTAAAAATTATAATTTAAATATACTTTCTAAACGGGTCTTTAATTATTTTACTAAGGTACGTGGTGGAAAGACAAAGATTTTGCATTAAAACTTTAAAAGCTTAAATAACTCGTTAGTTTGCTGGTCTCTTGGAACTTCTTTTGCTCTCAACAGAGTTGGTTTTTCCGATAACAGTCCACCAATTAACATATCATCAGTTATACTACTGTGGAAAATTACCTAGAAATTTATATTTCTGTTAAACATATCATCAGTTATAATATTGTGAAAAATTACCTAGAAATGTGCATGTACGTTAATTCTACTCAAATATCTCATTTTAACTATGTTAAGAATATTCTAGCAAAAATAAGAACAATAACAAATAATTATGTGTCTTGAGATACTAAAGAGATTCTCCCAATGCATGTATGTTTGAACTAAAAAAGAAAGGCTTATTTGCAGCGCACTTGTCTTTATAAACTTTACATCAGGGTTGTTCTTAATCCTTTTTTTTTTCCTGTCGCATTTAAGTCTTGAACGTTATTATTTTGTAACTCTTTTCATTTTCTGTTTAAGGAGATACGATAATTTATGAAATTTTATTTTAAAACTTGTAAACTTGAACGATAAAATTGTAAAAATTATGATAATTTGTGAAATTTAAATTTTACGATAATTTATGTTAGAACTTGTAAACTTGAATGGTTTATCGTAAAATTTAAAATTTTACAAATTATCGTTCGAGTTTACAACTTTATCATTTGAGTTTACAAGTTTTAACATAAAATTTCACAAATTATTACATCTCCTAGCACGATGCCGAGAAAAAATGCCCCAGCAACATAAAAGGACCCACCCTGCTTTTGCCTGAGACCAAAGTATCACAATGTTAATAGTTCAAAATTCAAATAACCCTAAACTATGCACCATACTTGTACAACATATCCTTGTTCTCGTTATTCGTCCACTTTCACATGATGTGGAATAGATATGCGCATCTTCAATGTAATATTAAATTCTTATGTAAAATAGATATGTGCATCATCTCTACACCAAAAGAACTATACGAAAGAAAGAGAAAAAGCGAGTAACGCGGGCCGGAGTTGACGTGTCGCCGGACTCCTAATTTTAAAACTTCATCCTCCGACTCTTTTTCTCATGGGCTTTGCAGTGGTGGGGGCAGTGTTTGCTGCGGAGGCACCGTTTGGACGAATCTATTCCGCGTTGGTAATTGGGTGACGATCGTTTTGGACTACGTTTTTTGGCAACTCCGTCAGTCGGTGGTTAAGGGCCCTCGGTGTTGTGTTATGCTCCATGAAGGGCTTCTTTTGGCGGTGGTATGGTTGGATTATGGCGACGGTGGAGAAGCCTCTTTTTGCCATCACTTTTTTGGCCTCGTTGTGCGTCATCCGAAGCTCCCTGACATGTCCTTTGCAGACCATCCCTTCCTCAGCGGCTTCTCATGGAGATGCTTAGAGGGTTTCCTTTGTTTTTGAGGTTAACTTGGTTTTTAATAATGGAGGGTCTCATCCCATTGTGTTAGGCTTTGTTCTCGTTTGGTGGTCTGGTATTTTGCTGGGATGTCGTCCTCTAAAGCGAGCTGGGGAGGTCACTAAGATCGTCAGAGTCGAGTTCGAGCCGTCAGAAGTACGGGCAGCCACCGGATCAAAGGCATTTAAAAGAAAAAGGTTGTTGTTCTCCCATATATCTGGGACGCGTTTGTCGCGGGATCCTG